TCTTTGGGTCCCAAATAACTCACCACATTTGTCATGGTCACTCCAGATATGCTATTATTGCTTCATTTTATCTGACAACTGTTTTATATATATATATATATATATATATATATATATATATATATATATATATATATATATATATATATATATATATATATATATATATATATATATATATATATATATATATATACAATTTTAGGATAGAATGAGTAAAAAATAACAACTGTATGAGACAGAAAGGGTTAATCCATGACCCTTGAACCGTGGAAAGGATACCAACCCCTGGCTTCCTATTAATACAACCAGGTCTGTGGGTTGATTTGTTAACTGTAATATTCATAATATAGCATTTATTATTCAAATGTTTATAAATCTCTTTTTTTTTTTTTAAATAAACCATCAAGTGTCTGACTTTAATGTTTTATATAGCACAGTCATTTTGATCTCCGGTGAGTGGAGGGTAAGGCCATTGTGAGGTGTTTAAGGAGATAACCTAAGTTTGACCTGGGGTGCCAGCATTCCCTACACTGTCTTTATAAACTCGCATGCAAGACTCCTGTTACATATTATCAAGAAAATGCATAAAGCATTTTTGTCTTATCACGCAGGGCTCTAGACTATTTTTTAACAAGCTAATTCAAATGAACTTACCCTTGTGTAAACAGTGTACTTTTTCGAGCATGAGACTCGATCAAGTCTTAATGTAACAAGATCATCAGTGCTTTCTATTTCTGTATCTTCTTCAGAATGAAAAAACAGTCTTGGTCTTTCACCTAGATGGCGTTGAATGACATCCAGTCTCAGTGTAATGTTTAATTCTGGATGGGTGATAGATCAATAGTAGTTACGTGTGTCTTTGAAGAAATGAAGCATACAATATAAATTAATAGAATCTGACTCACTAATAAAAAAAATATTGTCACAGCACACAAAAGAAACAATGAATGGACAGACACGGATGTAGCAGTAATTTTCATATCATTATATCCTATTCAATCTCTTGAGATTGTAACTGGGATAAATAGTAACAATTTTATTCTGAATTTCTAATACTTCTATTTCATTTTGCATGTATCATAACATACTGTTTTCTGATTATAACTGTGACATTTCTAGTTTTTGACTTATTATCTTGTTAAAATTATTTAACCTTATTTTGTATTATGTTGAAACTTCGGTATATGTGTATTTTAGTCCTAGGTATAAATTGTTCAATCTTTAGTAGTATTTCCCAACATGGAGCCCATGCCCCACAGGAAAGGGTGGGGGAGCAATCTGATTGTTAAGGGGAGCAATTTAATAATGGACTCGTTAAGTTTAAGTTACGTATGAATTTTATAAAGGCTTAGGTCAAGGTACACAAAAAAGTTGGGGGAACACTGCTGTAAAGCCATCAGTCATTAATAAGTCTTGTACTGTCACAAACAGACAGCAATACAGCATGCCTTCTTGAAATTGCTTTGTTTTAGTGCATACTCATGTTCTATGTTTTGATGTTTCAAGCATAAATTACAGGTTATTTTGTGAATAACAAGGTAAGCCTAGCCCAGTTGTAATATCAGTAATTTTCTACTGCATGAGATTGTAAGCTCATCTATTACTTGAAATTTAAGAGCAGTAAAAAAATATTTTTTTCATAAATGGCGGAAAGAAATTATTATATGATGTAAAAAGTGTGCATCAAAAATGCAGTGGAGACTCTATAACTCCACCATGATGGTTGGATATAATATGTGTGAAAATTACTACTACTAAACACTGCTTTGTAAGATATCAGTTTATATGTATATCTTAGGCCTGAGTAAAACAGGGGTTACTAAGAATGAAGAAAGGTTAAGGTCTATATGAAACTTTAATAGCAGAAAGAGGAGGTCAAAACATATAAATGACTGGTGCTTACACCAACCTAACGTTAAAACTTAAAATAATTTTAATAAGGTAATTTGAAAGCCAGTCTATACTTACTCACCAGCTGAAGGTGGCAGATTTTGGCCTGTGTAGCGTAAACACACAGAAACTTCCGAGCAATGCCATAGCTGTCCGTGATAAACACAGTTTGATTTGCCATTAAGGTCAATGACAGCAGGGTTGGCCTCAAGGCTAGCAAACAGATTAAACACTGGCCGGGCTCTCAACAAGACAACCATGTCAGATTCATATGATCCAACTGCAAAATCTGATGTGGAAAGACAATATTCATAAGTGGGACAGGGTATACCTAATCTATAATTCTTATTTCAAAAATGTTATAATGCTTCACTGTCTTGCACTAGCAAACTGAAAAAACTCAAATCTTTCAGTCCCAAGTAATTTCTGGTGTGTCTTTGGCTTTTTCCTTTGAATCTCAGCCATCCCATCACATGTTCTTTATACTTTAACACTTGATCAGAGTAATCTAAAGAAATCTGATTTTCTACTTAACAGCTCCACTGTGTATTTTGACTCTTTGAAGGTGCATTCACGATTTTTCAGTCCAGATTATTTACAGGGCAATTCCATTTTTTTATCAACTACTTGGAAAGCGACATGTACTAAGGAAACTATTTTCTTCTAGACCTTCCCCAACAATAAAGCATTGAGGGAATTTTGAGTTTTCTCTCTTGCCACTGGCATGTTGCCCTGGCTGTCAAAATCTACTAGTGTTATCAATCCATGTTTTTGTCTTCAATGGGATTAAAGGCAGATGCAGACAAATAGGAACAGCTAGCCATACTCTGTTCACATAAAATGAAGAAATCTCTCCACTCTGTAACTTTATACATTAGATGCACAAGAACTGTGTGGTTCCTCTAACATCATACTCATACTATAACATCATACTCATAGTTTGTAATTAAAGCTTTTCTTGAACATTTCATACTATATGCATGGTCTATACAATAAACGATCACCATCATCATGTAGCAGGTCCTTTGCAAAACATCAGTGTCACTACTTTCTGCCTGAAAGAAACTCGATCTTTAGCCAGCTCTCCCACCTTTTGTACTTTCTTACGCAAGGTGTCATTTATATCCTGTGTCATCCTTGTGTCATCCTACCTCTACTTTCTGGTACCATGCCTTTTGCTATTAATTTTTTCAATCTCTTGTGGTGCTAGTTCCTAGGACAAGATGCAGTTTAATAGACAATCCTCCTTCATGTTAAAATCTTTTAGGATGTCAGTATTTCTTTTATTCTTTGCTCATTGTATTCTGACAATCTTTCATTACTATTTCAGCTCAAAAGCCCCTTGTTTCTTTCTTAAGGGCCGAGAGATAGTCCATGACTCACATCCGTTATTTTACTGTAGGGAAGATGTATGCTCTCAAACTTTTGAACTTGATTTCCTTGCTGGTCCTTAACCATGGACTTTTAGTGCTTTTAAAAATATATCTTCGCTTGCTGCTGAAGATGGTAACTGGGCGTGATGTGAGTGTCGCGAGTGCTGTGATGTCGATTCCTAATTCAACATTCAACAATATATTATAAAAATATATCATGCCCTCACTACATGGCAGGTCTCTCTGGCTAAGTCATCAAGCCAGTTGCCATGTTCTGAAAGTCATAGATTTGTTTCATGGACTGTGTCATTTGGTTCATGAGTGCAGTATTTGCAAGGATCCTCAGGGATAATCAACTGAGGTGAGGAGTTTGTGTGCTTCTTGTTACATTTTCAGCAGGCGCCTATACATTCTGCAGACAGAGAGAGGCTGAGTCATAATAGGTTAAATCTCAGAGCATTTAATTATATCCTCTCGACTTTAAACTGCTGACTAGTTTTATAGAGGATTGAAAACTTTATCTGAAAATAAATATAAGCTTACTTTAACCAAAAAACAATAATATCTACCTCCATAATGGTTCCCGTCAACATCCCAGGGCTGAGAGAATGACCACCCAAAACTTTTAAGATCCTTTCTTAAACTTTTACCCACAATCCTCTGTGAAGGTTTATGGAATAAGCCATGTTTGGCACCATTGAAGATATAAATAACTCCAGAGTCTTCTTCATATGGTGCACCGACTGCTATATCTGTCAAATTATTGGAAAATAAACAAAATATATAACTTTTTGGGTGAATCCAAAAACAAATAAAAACTGAAATTTACAGTGAATACCTCAAAGAAGTAAAAAGCAGCAACAAACAGGCTTTTGAAGTATGGTGTTCATAAAACTGACAATAGTTGTAAGTTTAAACACTGCATGGCGACTGCCTTGGCAGACTACCTTTGTATCTTCAACTTTCATGTCCTCCATGTTACATCAACAGTGGTGTTATATGTTGCAATGTAGTAGCAGTAATTTTCACAAAAATATCATGTACAACTGGAGGAATCAGCTGTGTGTACATGTGGAATAGCACCTGAGACAACAGATCACATCCTCTAAAACTGTCCCAGGTACAACATATACAGGCAAAACCTTTGGCCAAGAGATACACAGGTGCAAGCCAAACTTTATGGGTTGCTGACTGAATTACAACAGACAGTGAAGTTCATACTAGAGACAACATTGCAGATATAGATTATTTTTTTCAAGAGAACACAAGAAGAAAAATAAAAAAAAATTCAAGCTGACTTATTTTTTAGTTTAGCAAACAGAAAAGTACAAATGACAAATAATAAAGGCACAAACTCAGACCTTCATAATGATCCAGATTCAGGTCTCCAACATTAGCTACAGCACTCCCAAACCTGGAGCCTGGAGTATTTGATCCTACCAGTGTTGCCATTAATTCCAGGTTGAACTGAAAAAAATGTATGTATACATATATTTATATAAGTATGTAGAAACTTGGTTCTAAGAAACTATCCCGTGAGGGTTCCAGGGCCCCATTGTAGTGGGAAAGAGGGGGAGGGGGTGTGTAGGTGACAACAGACCCACGGCCCCCTAACAAGCAGGTCATAAAAACCGACTAATTAGGGGCGTTTTCTTCAAAGTCGGAGTGCATCTGTAAAACAGATATGTATGCAAAGCTCTAGTTCTTATTCCGTCGGCGTTTGCAGCTGGTGAATGCCAAGTAGAAGAAAATGCCTAAACTGATTTTCACATGTTAAAAATTGAAGTAATAATTTAATACTTAAATAACTTTCCATGACAATTAAAGCCTAAAATTTATTATATAATGAATCACAGAGACGCATCATTACATAATATGGTATCTAACATAAAACTGATGTAATATCTGGTGTTATTAAAATTAACAGAACTGTACTGAAACATCCTAATTAATTCTTTTTAACTAAATTTGTCTGAATGAGCCACTATTAGTAAAGTAAGGTACAGGACCCTTTTCTGCGCAATCAGGCGTATTTGGCATATAGGGATAGACCTATATTTTATAGACGGCTGCCTTTACTTCCCAGGACTGCAGAATGGACCACTATTGCTTACATTTTACTCTTATGAGTTACTGCAATTGACAGGGGTCTCAAAAAAAAACCTGAGTATCTTTCTAAATCTGTATTTGTTAGTTTTATCTATTTAGCCATCAGATACAATTAAAGAAGATTCTGGAATTTGACTGGTGAAAACTCCAGCTTACTTTTCTAAATATTGTCTTGAAAGATTCAGACACTTTTTGTTCATGTCTATAGATTCACTCATTGGCAATGCACTTGCTAATGTCACAAATACGCACAGACCCCCCTTTTGTTTCACAGAGTTGAATTAAGAAACGATATCACAGCACTGGGGACACTCCCATAGGTGCCCAGTCCCCATCTTCAGCAGCAAGCGAAGAGTTCCAGTTCCGATGGTACCAGAAACCATCTGATTGTATATCCATCTTATCCTTTCCCTGAGTGTTGAGCCTCTGCCAGATCCCCTGGTAACTCCTCGCAGCTCCATTCTCCTCAGACCGTAATGATCCATCTGTGCCTCTGCACTGTTCACCCGTTCCCAAAGGGCCCTCACAATATCTAGCTTGTCATGCATCAATTCATAACCAAGTGGTGCAGAGCCAGCCAGTCTATCTGCCTGCTCATTTCCCAACACACCGGTATCACCTGGAGAAAATATACAAAGGGTGCTAGCTACCCGGGACCTCTGAAGTGATGCTTGCCACTCTGCACGAAGCATGCCTGTTTTCGCCTTTCTCAGCATGCTCTGTGAGTCAGTTACAATCACGGCATGTGTGTACAGCTGATTCTCAAGCCAGCGGAAGGCAGCAGAGACTGCCTCCCCCTCCATTCTCTAACTAGATATTGTGATATCATATGCAAGGCTTTGCTGCACTAGGCGACATTTTCACATTGTCTACCAGTATACAAGGAGATAGGTTAATCACATCATAGTACAGGACTGTTTTTATAATGACACGTTATTGACAAAACATTGAGATGTTAATATAAACATTGCACCCCCCCCCCTTTTCCGCCCCGGAAACCCTTGTAACCCTTGAGGGTTTTAGGTGGGGGGGGGGGGGGGTGTAAGAGGCAACGAATGAGGGATTTTTAAAATAAGGCTACGCATTTCCCTGAAACGCGAGGAACTAATAGTCTGCACAGACGCAAGCCAGATCTATAAAACGGATGTGCACGCAGAATTCAAGTTCATTGCCTCTCTAAGTAAAAGGCATGTTGTAAGAGCCAACAAACAAACGATTATTAGAATTAGGCCGCGCATCTTTCTGAAAGGCGAGGAACGAACAGGCAGCATAAAAGCAACATATGTCTATAAAACGCATGTGGACGCAGAATTAAAGTTCTGAAACAAAAGTTTTCACCAGAAATGGATGATTGTCACTACAAAATGTCTTAAAAGGGCGCCGAAGCTAAACATAAAATAGTTATTACAGTAGCTAGGTAAAAAAAAAAAAAAAAAGAATAAACCTAAAAAAGGCAATAGTACTATGACCGTTGAGTACGTCAAGAAAAAAAGTGTCCTGAAGATCATTGACATATACATCACTGAATTGTTATAGTACGTGTACTTACAAATTCTCTGTTCATGTAGACATAGACTCTTCCCTCATCTAGAACATCTGAGAAAAATGGAGCACCAATCACCAGCTCATCTAAGTTATCGCCATTTAGATCCACAGCACAAAGTGCAGCACCAAAGGAACTGCCTATCTGTACAAGAGAAGCTATGACTTGTAAACATGCGTTGATAAAGGAATAACATCGGACACTAAATCAGGTAAATTTCAGGCATCTTTGTTTGGTCTTGTCGCGTAGCAGTTCCGTGTCCTAATGTCCTAAGAGGTAGATACACGTTTTCCTTCGAACATTATATACTATTGATAAAAAAGCAGTTAAAGATCAAATCTTCCTGCTCCTTATCTGTATGTGAGGAGTATATTATTACTTGGTATGTAACCCCCCTCCCCTTTCTGCCCCCGGTAACTCCCCTACCCCTTCTCCCTCTGGACTGATACCATGATAGAAAGACACCACATTGACCCACAGAGCTATAATTCGGATGCAAGTCTAGCAGGAACAAATTATATTTCTTCCTCTTTCTTCTTCATCTCTTTCTCCCCTTTCCCTCATTGCTTCTTCTTCTTCTTCTTCTTTTTCTCCTTTTTCTTCTTCTTCTTCTTCTTTTTCTTCTTCTTCTTCTTCTTCTTCTTCTTCTTCTTCTTCTTCTTCTTCTTCTTCTTCTTCTTCTTCTTCCTCCTCCTCCTCCTCCTTCATTGTTAACCCTAAAAAAGGACAGTAAAGTATATGTATTGATGTGTACAATTTCCTTTAGTATACGACGTCAGTATTGCATTTTTGGGACAGTGATTACATCTCATTATGGTCTGCATCTTTAATATCAGCGTTACTTTTACCTCGCCACTATTTAAGCTGGGACAATTTTTCCATCCTTCTCAAATCATATCCTTCCCGTCCTTATAAGGACGAAATTTTTCGTTATTTGAAGCCCTACCCTGGCTTTTGCCAGGGGCCGCAATATAGGCAGGCCATAAAATGGCCAATTGTCTGAACGCGGTTTCTGGGAACTCTCCACGGCGAACCTCATCCGCATGGTGGCACTTTTTGTCATCGGGTGTTTATCGCTTGTGTGATGTCCTGGTGGGGTAGAAAGTCAGTCAGTCAGTTCCATCCTTTTTAACCACAACTACTGTCATTTGATGCGGCGTCCGTGGCTAAGGCGTTGCGAGTCTGACTCGTAATCCAACGTACCGCGATCGAAACCTGCGTGGGCTGCCTGGATTTTTATCATGGTACGGGACGTCGCAGGTCGACCCAGCCTCAAATGGGTACCAGGATGGACTGTCCTGGGGAAAGTAAAGACGGCCGGCGTAATGCTGACCACATTACTCACCGAGTGCCGATTGGTCTGTAAAAATATGGGTGCTCTCCCCATATGCCCTATGCGCCTAAGGGCGTGTGAAGGGATCTTTACTTTTTTTTCTTATTGTCATTTGATACAGTTTCCTGAGAATGGTTGCTAACATTAGTGTCACAAATATAATTTCATTTATTTATTATGACAACCAACAGTGAAAGTTTGCAGTAACTGGCTAGTTTTAAAATAACTTCACCTGATACTACAAAAAAATAAAAGATCTTGCCGTTCTTTTTAGGATGCAACTTTTCTTTATTTGAAGCCCTACTCTGGCTCATGTCAGGGGTCGCAATATAGCCTGGCCATAAATATGGCCTAAAGGCTGAACGCGGTTTCTGGAGCCTCTTCGTGGTGATCCTCACCTACATGGTGGCACATTGTGTTATCGGGTGTTTATCGCTTGTGTGATGTCCTGGTGGGTAGAAAGTCAGTCAGTCAATAACTTCACCTAATGAAAAGAAGCTATAAAGAATATGAATGAAAACGGTAACTTAATCCAGTATCTAATATCTTACCTGGTTTCCTTCCTTTGCAAACAGCAATTGAAAATCATTGTTGTATGCGTAGACCTGAAAAGGAAAGGTTTATCTCATCAAATAGTGACAATTGACAGTCCGAATTGGCTGTAAACAAGAATGCACCAAGATGGGGTATCGCAGCAGCTAAATGCATGTATGCTGGACTTAAGATCTTACGTTCAAATCCACATCAAGGCATAACATAGGTACGGGAAATGTCCTGGGAAGTAAAAAAGTCGGACTGATGTTGACCACATCACCCATTGATTGCTGAACTGTTTAAGAAAAAAAAATGGATTTCGCACCATTATTCTTAATGCATTAGAGGGTTTTTCATCTCATTACTTTTTTGTTCAACACGAGAATCAGGTGTCCTACTCACTACCTTTCTTTTTCTCATCACTACTCTGTATCTCATCAACTCCTACCCTTTGGGAGCGAGTGAACAGTGCCGAGGAACAGATAGATCATTACGGTCTGAGGAGAATAGCACTGCGAGGAGTTACAAGTGGATCTGGCCGACGCTCGACACCCAGGGGAAAGGCGAGAAAAGGATATACATTCAGACAGTTACTGGTACCATCGGAATTTTAACTCTTCGCTTGCTGCTGAAGATGGGGACAAAGCGCTTATGGGGGTGTCCCGAATGTTGTGATGTCGATTCTTAATTCAACATTCAACTCCTTGAGTGCGAACTGAGAGCACACAACAGTCTCACAAAAGAAAAGATCAACTACAATCTCTACTGAGTGTTCTGTGAGTTAGCAGGTTTCTTTTCTATACCAATTTAAAGAATCACAAAGTCTTAAAATTTGCAAGTTCATACGTGGCTGAATAAGTTTATTAACGGAGATTAAATTATTATCAAAAAGATACACACACACAAAAGAACATCACTGAGGCGCAAGAATTTAGGATCATCTCCTTAGATCGTCTCTTAAATCAGTGACAGTCTTCTTTGTCATGAAGCTTACTAAAGACTGCAAACTTTGCAAGCTACCAGACTGCAAGAATGTTACTGCAGTACACCGGATGATGGTAGATGTACAGCACCTTTGTGTTATTTGTATGCTATGAATAAGTACGCGACTTATTCAGCAGAATTTAGAGAATCACTTGGCCTTCAGATTCACGACTTCGTACAGGGTTGAACAAGTTCATTATTGGGGGTGACAGTACCAGGGTTGAAAGATCATCAATACAACTGGTAATGATCCGCGGGCCATTTTCTAGACTTCTGCGGGCCAGATTCGGCCTACGGGCCTCATTTTAATAGGGCTTTTAGAATTATAACTAGCGCATAACTAGTGCAACACAAAAGTTGTGTACACTTTTAACCAAGAATGATAACTAGTGCAACACAAAATTGTGTACACTTTTGAACCAAGAATGATAACTAGTGCATAACTAGTGCAACACAAAATTGTGTACACTTTTGAACCAAGAATGATAACTAGTGCATAACTAGTGCAACACAAAATTGTGTACACTTTTGAACTAAGAATGATAACTAGTGCATAACTAGTGCAACACAAAATTGTGTACACTTTTGAACCAAGAATGATAACTAGTGCATAACTAGTGCAACACAAAATTGTGTACACTTTTGAACCAAGAATGATAACTAGTGCATAACTAGTGCAACACAAAATTGTGTACACTTTTGAACCAAGAATGATAACTAGTGCATAACTAGTGCAACACAAAATTGTGTACACTTTTGAACCAAGAATGATAACTAGTGCATAACTAGTGCAACACAAAATTGTGTACACTTTTGAACCAAGAATGATAACTAGTGCATAACTAGTGCAACACAAAATTGTGTACACTTTTGAACCAAGAATGATAACTAGTGCATAACTAGTGCAACACAAAATTGTGTACACTTTTGAACCAAGAATGATAACTAGTGCATAACTAGGGCAACACAAAATTGTGTACACTTTTGAACCAAGAATGATAACTAGTGCATAACTAGGGCAACACAAAATTGTGTACACTTTTGAACCAAGAATGATAACTAGTGCATAACTAGTGCAACACAAAATTGTGTACACTTTTGAACCAAGAATGATAACTAGTGCATAGCTAGTGCAACACAAAATTGTGTACACTTTTGAACCAAGAATGATAACTAGTGCAACATAAAATTGTGTACACTTTTGAACCAAGAATGATAACTAGTGCATAACTAGTGCAACACAAAATTGTGTACACTTTTGAACCAAGAATGATAACTAGTGCATAACTAGTGCAACACAAAATTGTGTACACTTTTGAACCAAGAATGATAACTAGTGCATAACTAGTGCAACACAAAATTGTGTACACTTTTGAACCAAGAATGATAACTAGTGCAACATAAAAGTTATGTACACTTTTTTCACTAAGAAAGATCCTTGTTCAGACGGGGAGCAGTGGCAGAATTATGTTTGCCCCATCAGCAAGACTGGGATCGACCCAGCTGATCTCCATTAAATGGACACCAGAGAATTGTGTGTGAATTTGTCGGGGGGGGGGGGGGGGTGAGTGGGACACAGTGGTGGCGAGAAAGGTGACATGTCATCATATCAGATTTAGAATGTGTGAAGAAACTGACATTTCACACACCAGAGACAGTAACTATCTTCTTCAGCACATTGTCCGCCATTGGAGCATAAAGGTCATACAACTGCTCACGCCAAGAGGCCATTATCTGCCAACAGGGGAGCCAGAAACTGGGAGCCCAAGCATCATGAGCGCCCCCCCCCCCCACGAAAAGCTGCAGTTCAGCCCCCCACCCCCACGAAAAGCTGCAGTTCAGCTCACCCCCCCTCCCCCACCCCCAACCCCCGAACCCTTTTCCATAAAATTGTAGGGTGTAAGCGCCACTCCCCCAAGACTATATATACGTTTTTTAAAACATGTGTTTATACTATTTCTATTATTTCAAATATGTTATTATATTAATTTGCTATTCAGCAAATTATTATTACATACTTAAATAAGGCATAGGCAACTTTAGGTTCTCTTAAACAGTTGTTAAGGTCACTGAGCCACATTCCCCCTTCACCCGCACCCTCGTCCCTTCCAAAGTTTTCTTATTGTCGACAGTCATCGCTTTCTCTCTATATATCTCTCTCTTGCTCTCTCTCTCCCTCTCGCTTTGACGCTCTCACACGCTCGCTCTCTCTCTCTCTCTCTCTCTCTCTCTCTCTCTCGCCCTCTCTCTCTCGTTCTTTCGCTTTCGGTTTCTGTCGCGCTTTCTCTCTCTCTCTCTCTCTCTCTCTCTCTCTCTCTCTCTCTCTCTCTCTCTCTCTCTCTCTCCAGAATAACGTAAAATTTGTTAATAAAATAAATTCCTCGCGTTGGTTCTGAGACCAAATTTTAGGGGACCAAATAATAAAACCATTTTAGGTGTGCTTCCAAAGTCGGAGTGCATCTGCTTGAAAGGCAGGGAGCCAGTAATCTGCAGATAAAAAAGCCAGATATGTAAAAACATAAATGCACGGAAACCCCAACTCCTGGAACAAGACCAAAGTCCAAAAGTATCCGAGTTTACAACTGGTGAATGCTAAAAAGAAAAAAAAAAGAAAAAAATATATAACCGAGTGCTGCGACCGTTGTACTTACTTTACCGACACCTCCAGCTCTAGGCCCTCCAATAATTGTATGAATTCCATCGGCAGACAATCTAGCTGTTGTAATGGCCATACCTATGATAACAAACATTAGGTAACACATGCGGAAGTTAAATAGTTTTAAAAGAACTACAACGAGGGATTAAACAGTACATCACAAGAACAAGGACCCCCCCCCCCCCCCTTTCCCCAGTTCCTCAGCGCAGTGCACGAATCCGTGAACCGGCGAGAATCCTGGAATACTTTGGATAGATGTTTAACTCCAAATTTAGCCCATGCAGCTCCGTTAGGCTATTCTTTTTCGATTTCCAACTGCCAAGGAATTTTTTTTACGTGTGCGAATACACACGGGCGTCCGATCTTACTGCCCAGAGACCAGTGGAAATTACCAGAAGTCAACGTGAAACAATCTCAGCCTTCACAAGGCTAGAATCTGGGATCTCCAGCATTCGAGGCCGACGCTATGCCTCGAGACCACTTAGTCATGATTTTCCCAGAGGATTTTTCATGATCAGCAGAATCGTGGATTAGATCAGTGTTTTTGTCCTCCGCCAACCAAGTGGCCAAGCAACCAGGCTTTTATCTATTTACCCGTCCCTGGCTCTTTTTATTTTCAAGCCTGCCATTCGTTACCACTTCCAAGTTTTCAAGTTTATTCCTTGTCATAAAGGTCCTTTTTCCACGCTTTTAGGCGTATTGGGACTATATGGCCTGACCTATATTTTTATAGACCAATCGGCACTTAGTGGGTGATGTGGTCAGCATTGCGCTGTAGCCTTACTTCTCGGGACGCACCTGGTACCCACTCAAGGCTGGGTCGACTTAAGAGTCAAGGTCATTTATGAAAAAAAATCCGGCTCCGCCAGGACGCGAAACCACGACTTTTCAATCCGCAAGCCAACACCACGGCTATTCCAGGACAAAAATATCGACTGTCTGACGTCTAATCATGTATCAGGATTTCGTGACCACATAAAGTTAGTTTGCGTATCCTTTACAGGACGTTGCAGAACCAACCCTAACAGCCCCTGGCTGTTGTGTGGTTTCTCTAGGCAATTTACATCCAGTAGTTTGCCATTGCTTTCTGGACAGTCGGCTTTCTTGATACCACTGTCGAAACCAACGCAAGGCACGTTGCCGGCAGCTGAGATCGAACCTGGCATCCCGGCATTACAAAGCAAAGCGTTCGCATTGACTTAGCCACAGAGCCTCATACTACAAAGAAAAAGTAAATAACTTTAATTATAAAAATAACACAGTCACAACAGATAGGGGGAAAATGTTAAAAAACACAAAGTAGCAGCTCACAGAAGAAGTGGAAATGAAGACACATACAATTTGTGAACCACAGTACTGTTGTAAACATAATGAATAAATCAACAGAAAGTGGATATAGTATGCTCTGCAAACACATAAACACAAGTGACGGAACTGAAGTTGCAGCTAGACAGCTGTAAAGACAAACAGCAGTGCCACAGAAATCGTAACATTTAAAGCGTTTCCTCTACCCATCTACTACACAAGTGCATTTTCCAGTTGTTTGTTTGTTGTTTATGCATTTGCACTGTAAAATAATTTTGAACTATGTGTTTCAAGCCAAAAAGTCTGAAGTAATGATTAATCAAACACCCACAATTAATCCTTTATCTTTAATTTTTAAACGAATTCGTAAAATTCAAATAATAAAATTAATTCGTGTCCGTTAGAGGACGTCGCAGAACCAATACAGCAATTTTTTTTTTTTTGTCATTTTACTAGACAGTTTTATGGTCAGCAGTATTCAAATAATAGCTAACTTATAAATGATGATGTTTTTGTTCAACTATATCAGAATTCTTACCAAAATACGAACTGCTCTCCATGTCAGCAGAAAGCTCCACAACTTTAGGTCTTTTTGTCGGGTCCCCTTCATTATAAACAAAGCCACCTAAATAACGAGAAATAGTGGATATTTTTACAATTAACTTAAAGAAAATCGGTTATCTGAAGTCATGTAATAATTTTCAGAGGAAATGAAATTGTGTGATATAATCACTTTGGGAGAGAACTAAACAACTTCGTGTTAATCAAGTTGTGAAAAAAAAAAAACCGCTGGCGATGGATTTGATACGTTGAGATTGAGGTTTGAACAACGGATCAACATTATGGCACCAGGGTGGTAACCCGTAAGTGCTCCGTGTTCTTCTAACTCAAGTCTGAGCACGGTGCACAGGCTCTGTAGTATCTGCGAGGATCCTGAAATACTTTGGGTAGATTTTTAACTCCATATTTTGCCCGGGCAGCGCCGTTAGGCTTCCCTTTCTCTTTTTGATTTCCAGCTGCCAAGGGCGTTCGATCTCACTTCTCAGAGATCAGGGCGAATTGCTTGAAGTCCAAGTCCACGTGAAAAAAATCCCAGCCCTTATCGGGGATTGAACACGGAACCTCTACCACTCGGGGAGGATACCATGCATCGAGACCACGCAGCCCCCAACGTTGAGATAGCTCAGAACGGCATAACTAGATGGGCTTTACACCGGAACCCAGAGGGGCATAAAAATAAACGCAATCCAAAACGCACCAAGAAGGGAACTTGAAGTTTAACAAATGTGGAGTACATAGGGTGAGGTGCATGTAACAGTTAAGGTTAGGACGACTTGACATGAGTTGATTGAGGGCATACGCTCCATTGGAAGATAAGGACCAGAAGAATATAATAATTAAATGGTTTAAGACAGGAATACATAGTAGTTATTTCACCAATATCATTTTCAAGATCTTTATGGGGTGTATTACAATTATCTAATACAGTATGCAGTAATAAAAAAAGTATGCCAACATTAACAATATCCACTATCTATGAAGACAATATACCACATAGATCCCAGTTATAACCATGAAGAGTTTAACAGGATATTATTAATATAACTACTGCTACTACTACTACTACTACTACTACTACTACTACTACTACTACTACTACTACTACTACTACTACTACTACTACTACTACTACTACTACTACTACTACTACTACTACTACTACTGCTGCTGCTGCTGCTGCTGCTACTACTACTACTACTACTGCTACTACTGCTGTTGCTTCTACACACATTCCGCTGCTTGGGAAGGCGGCAAATACCATCCACGAAGGGCTTTGATTGTTTTAATTGAGCCATTTTGTTTCCGCTACCGCAAAGAGAGTTTCAGGACATAATCGTCCCTTTACAAGTCTTTTCATCCCTAAGGGTCCAGACGAATAAAAGTCACAGGTTGACAGACCTGCAATCTCTGTGTCTCAGAAATTCAGTGTAATTCGAGAGCCTGCCCTTTTTTTTTAAATATCCATAAACCATGAGTAATTAACCCTTTGGGTCCGTACTATGGACATCGCAACCCTTTGGCCTTGATTCCATGATAGATACCGTAAATTTAGGAGAAATGTGGCTTTTCTGCCTAACCCCGGACCAAAAGGAGTTCGTCCCACGATCGCCGCGCAGTCAGTTTTAACCAGTTGAGCTAGCAAGAGCTTGCCCTAAAAGTATAGTTTAGAATGGTAGCGTGGTAATTGCTAGAAGTGCAAGTTAGTGTGAAGATACATATTCAAAAGGAAGTGGGATAACTCGCTGGATGAGGCTCCTAAATTATTTGCATATATTTGAAAACTATTAAAATTTTCCCGTTATGCCCACGCGGAGTATTTCTTTTAATATACTTTTCCTTTTAGAGTAGTGTACGCAGACAGACGGAAGACTTCTCTTTTTCTTCACGTTCTTTTTTTTAACCTCTTCGTGTGGCGATAGAGATACAGCATCTTGCTCCTTCTGGGAACCTGGACCATAAACACATCGTACCGTTGTAGAGTTTTTGTCTACACCACCATTATTTCCTTCCCTTGTACACTTTGCGTTCTTGCAAAATTATTTTTCTATGCGTCTCCACGCCGAAGTGGTCAAGCCGTTTGCCTTGCGCTAGAATGGTCGTAGGTTCGTTTCACTGCTGTTCGTTCAGTTCCAAGTGTACTTTTTACGGAGATTCCATCAGATCCTCACAGGAGCTACGGAGTTCGTGCTTTATGCCATGCTATTGACAGGCGGCTAGCTGTCCTGTGAAGAGAGACCAAGCCATTTGGGATTAAACCCGGTGCAGTGAAGTCGATCCTCTTGACTTAAACTCTGACTGTAACTAAATGGATGGCTTCTGGATGTTCTAGAGAAATTAGATTATCTGGAAGGAGCTATCATATGCTATATGGGTCTCTGTGACGAAAAGGATAAGATGCTTGCCTCGTTTTCTGAAGGTTGTGGGTTCAATTTCAGTTCACGAGTGCAGGTCGTCATTGAGATCCTTAGAAATTCTTTCCTGGACTTACGGATTTGTGCAGCGATCTCGTGAGCAAGCATCCAATCTGCTGACTGAGGTCGAGCATTTTGGAAAAAAAACGTAAGTTAATGATTCTCTCGCCTTTTAACACTTCTAGTACCTCGTAAAAACATCTTGTGCAATATATCCTTGTCATTGAGAGTTAGAAAAAGAATTCTTGTTTGCTACATACATCCAGTTTTAACATATGGCTGTGAATCCTGGACAATCGGTAGGCAGGCCAAACAATTTCTTGACGCCTCAGAGATGTGGTTTTACAGAAGAATGCTAAGAATACCTTGGACAGCCAAGAAGAGCAACCAAGAGGGTTTGAAAGAGGCCGGAGCCCGAAGACAACTTATGCATCAGAAGGAGACAGTCATCATTTTTTGGCCATGTTATGAGAAGAGGGAAAATAGAACACGTTGTGACCACTGGAAAGATCTGTGGAAGGAGGGATAGAGGAAGACAACGAGAGAAGATGCTTGACAGTCTTGTTGCATGGCATGGAGGTGTGTCGGCACACGAACTGATACATGCTGAAGGAGATCGAAGATTATGGAGAGGCATGATCGCCCACGCCAGTCGGCAAGGCACCTTATGATGATGAGTCCCTTGTAAATAAATACCAAATGACTGTTCAAAATAACATAACCCTTTTAGTGCCAAACAATTGTTACTTAAAACTTTTTTAAATCCCAAAGACTGTGTACTTTATATTGATAATCCTTGAGTTTTAAGTACTTAAAACAATAAATTGTGTAAAACAGAGGGATATAAGGTAACATGGGATAAACATGGTTATTGAGCCGAATAGTGGGATAAAAGTTGTAAAACTAATACCAGGTATGGAGTAATCAAACAATGTATGATGTATTGATTGACACTGAAAGCTTATATGACACACCTGCCCAGTAGTTCAGTCCTGGTGCTCCAATGACAGAAAATTTACCGTCCTGTTAAAAAAAAAACATTGGAAAAATTCAAGGAAACATTGTAAAATATTCAAATTGTGTGTGCGTGGGTGAGAGAGAGAGAGAGAGAGAGAGAGAGAGAGAGAGAGAGAGAGAGAGAGAGAGAGGGTGGGGGGACAGGGGGAAAGAGAGAGAGAAACAGAGGGAAAGAGAAAAGAATTTAAAAAAAAAGAGAAACACACAGAAAACACAAAAAGTCAACCCATGTACGTATTATTATTGTACATGATGGTAAAAATATATAATATAAACGCTACTGTACATGACTGTAAATATATTGTTTTTGGTCGTAAGTGCGGATGGTCTTAAGTCGCATAGGTCGTAAGTCAGAGAGAACGCGGTATTTCAACTGTTTCAAAGTGCTAGTGCAGAGTCTGTAACTCTGCATGAATACTTGTGAAGATAATGTGATGGTTTCCCCGTTTCCGACTAGAAAGATCACTGGTAGACGAGCAGAGGCAGACCAAGAGAAATGATAGTCGATGGCTTAAGACAGTAGCGTGGAAGAATATCATCAGTGGGATTGATCCAGAACACCAAAGACCGAGATCTGTGGAGATGCCTGAACGCCTGCGCAAGCTGACAAAGCACTTGATGATAATGAGTACAGAGTCATTTAACCGCCAACCTGGTAGTCTTGAGTTAAATTTCCTTTTTTTTCGGCGATTTTTAAACAATGGATACCAGCGAAAATTCTGGGCAATAAAGGTGGTCAGCTTGTCTAGGACAATCAAGGGGTTGATCGATCGGTTTGTCCCACTGGGCTTCTATGTAGGGGTTTACCATACCATTCTGAGATTAACGTTCTTGATCTGGACGGTAGACCAGCAAAGTAGATCCCAGATAACCTGTTCAACCTTCAAAGAAGTTATTATTAGGTTACCTGTAACGGCGACACAAGTCGGATGTAACCACCAGTCCTATTCGGGTAAGGACGACCCCTCGATGGCTAATTTTCGATGCAAATATAGAACTAGCATAACATTTCACCCCAAGGCGAGAAAATCATTCTTTGAAGGGAAAAAAGCTACTTTAGGTTTGAATAAAATAGAGAAAGTTAACTTCCGAAACATTTCGAGGTTATAGTAACGAACACGGGGCCAGAAAAAGAGTGACTTTCCTTATCATTTATAATTCGCCGTGTCGCAGGGCTTGTCTTATGTGACGGGGGTGTTACGCTTAGTGACCGGCTTCCAACACTTAGCATTTTGCTAGTTGTTGTCACCGGCCGGCGTTAGATATCGTGTATTGTAAATCCCAGGATGTTAGCACTTTTAACGGTCGCTGCATGCAGCCTAAATCATATGACTGTATGCAGCGCATACGCAGTCGTGGGACGTAGACCTCACCTCTCTTGGGACATGGGGAGGTTGAAGTTAGAACCAGTTCTGCATGTTTAGGGACCGTACCGCCGGCCGGTAACTAAGTGTGACACCCCTGCGACATAGGACAAGCCATGCAACACGGTGATTCATGAATACGAAGGGAAGTCACTCTCTGTTTGTGCCTATTGTCGTGAATTGAACCCATTTCAAATACTTTAATCTCTGAAAAGCACTCTAATTAGGATCGTTTGAAAACTGGAAAGAATTTAGAGTAAACCCAAAAAGTGAGGGGGGTTTAGGGTGGTAGGGATGGGGGAGCACAGACTCACAGTCCCTTCCCTAACAAGCATGTTGTAAAAAAAACCGACTAATTATCCACTAATTATGAGTTTTGCTGAAATCAGATGTGTTAGGCCGAAAAGCATATATATCGCAGCCTAACTGTAAAACAAAACACAGCGTGTCAACTGCCCTTTGCGGGCAAACGCAGAAGAAAGTGTTCATAGAAATGAAACAATTTGACAATATTTACCAATTGGCCGATGAGACATTAAAATATGTGAATTATTTGACTTTAACATGTGTTATGAGACAATACAGGAGATATAAGCAAGATTTAACAAGAAGGATACATTTTTTGAACACCCCCCCCCCCCTCCCTCCTCCCCCAATGTTTAATTGTCCACAATTTACTATAGTTTAGACTTCAATTATTTCAGTATTGCAGGATGAGTTGTGTTTCCTTTACTGAAAAAAAAAAAAATTATCTTTTAATACAGACAAACAAAATCATTACTTTTGAATAAGAGACAGATATTCCGAGGCTACCCATTCCATAAGAGAAGTAGCCTGCAGCATGAACTTGTTTCTTCCAGTTTTCTAACGCGGGATATGCACTTGTTTCATCAAAGTGTAAATCACGGCTTGTCTCATAGCATAGTCCATTCATCAGTTGAATACCTTGAACTTCAAATTTCTTGTCTATCCACCTTGGAGCACAGACCTAATAAAATAACAAAATATGTCAAATGCTTAAAAATGTAATAATTTCAAATGTAAATTCAACTTGGAGCACATTTGTTAGTTGTTAGAGATGAAGCCTTATTTTCTTTGAAAAACAAAAACAAATTACAGTCGTGCAAATCTCTGGACTTACCAAATATGCAAAATAACGGTGAATGGAGAGTGAGAAGCAACAATGACATTTATTATCTGTTTAAATCATCATTGATCACTGGCATCGGAAGGGGTAACAGACTTCACTGGCTGGAGGTTAATGAAAGAATGTCAGATGACAGAGAGGTAAAAACTGTGTTCACAGGGTAGTTGAATAAACGTAGACTATGAGGCAGACCAAGAAGACTGCGGAGAGATAATATACAGGCAGACCTGCAAACACTTGGAGTAACCAACTGGTAATTGAGGACTATTCACAAAGATTAATGGTGTTGGGTGATATCTGCAGCAATGAACTTCAAGGGCTTGGAATGCTGAAAAAGAAAAAAAATATTTAAAATTGACCACATCAATTCACTGAGTGCCAATTCGTCTATAAAAAAATATGTCTAGTAACACAGGACAGATAAAGATAAAAAGATTAATGAATATGTCTTGAAAGAAATTAATTCACTAAGGGAAGTGTTTGCCCACATCAAAAGGAGACAATCTAAATTTTTAGTTATGTCACAAGAAGGAGAAAAAAGTATCTAGTATAAAATAAGCACTTTGTGGATAAGCACGTATTGCATCTTAAAATGTTCAGAAACGTACACAGTTTTGTGTGACCCTGTGTAACCGTTATGACTAAATCGGCGATGAAAAGGTAAGGAACATCAAGCACCATAAAAATATGGTCGCTGCAGCCATGACAACCGTAACATTGGTCACAATGCACGATTCAGCAAACGTAAAAGTGGATTAAATTCAGCATTGACTCACCAGAGCTACACATGGCGTCCATATCAAAGTGTACTAAATTAAGTTTAAAACTGTAAACTTTTCTGAACATTTTAAAAAGCCACACTTGAATATCTATTAAATATTTATATTATAATAACAGTTAAAATTATGTCAATCATTCTTGATAGCCACGTGTACTAGGTACATTATGATGAGATGTGGACAGAGAATTACTCAACAATCACCGACATGGGAAACAAGTGAACTGAGGAAACGAGGACTTCAAAGATTAACTCTTAGAAGAACGTTGTTGTTGGGAGAGGTCAAAGTTACCGGACTAGATTCCATTCATGATATGGAAAAGATAGCACACAGATGAAGGGAACTGACTGGTCTGCGAACCCAGGGCCATCTTAACGAACATGCACGGGATTCCGCCATCATAAGAGCCTCATGCTAATCTGAGTTTAGTTCTTCTTTTTCTTCGCCCATGCCGTGTGGCGTTGGCAGTCATGCTTATTCACAATCTTCTGTCTCGTGTACTTTCAATCAACTTTGACACAGATGATTTTCCATGCCATGATGCTGTCCAGCCTCTGTGCTCTCGGTCTCCCTCTGCCTCTCCTTCCCTCCAACTTTCCTACCGTCACGATGTATACCAGTTTTCTCCTTTTTATTAAATGACCAAAAATTTAGTTTGTATCTTTCTGGCGTGGGCAATCAGTTCCTTACTATATATAGGTAGTCCGCAGTATGTCACAGTGGGCTAACTAATCTATGTTTACGAATCAACACCAGTTGTTTTGAAAAACCAGTAAAATAAATATGTATTTCATATTATCGACCATTAACATTTCGTTCCTGTGAGTGGGTGTCGTAGGGTCCCCAGCACACTGGTTTGCCCAGGAGCCTATAAAACTGTTAAGACGGCTCTGTAGGAGCCTTAAGTAACGTATAACGGCACAGAAGGATGGCGATAATGATGATTTTAATGCGTATTGCGTATACATGGCAGAACACGTGCAAACGAGTTAGGGTAAAACTGTTAAGATTATATCGTATATTTCCTGTGACAACTTATGGATGGACTCTTACTGAATGACTGACTTTTAACCCATCCGGGACATCACACCGAGCGACAAATACCCGGTGACACTAAGTGCCACCACTCGGATGAGGATCGCCAGGGGACAGGTTCCAGAAATCCCGTTTAACCCATAGGCTGGGTTATATCAGGGTGGGGTTTAAAAAAAAAAAAAAAAAATTGCGTCCGACATCGGGACGCACTATTAAGTGTTTTATAGACTCTTCCTCGATAACTTAAGGGAAAAATTTGAGCTTTTGAACTGAAATGCTACAGACACATTTGGAAAAAGAAGAGGAAAAATACCACATCCTACATGATCTGAGCTACGAGGAGAATTGGCTCACAAACAGCATCCTGCCCGGAAAGCTGGGGTATTTTGGCCATGTTAAACGTCATAATGACTAGAAGAAAACGGTGATGTGGGAGGAATGCGGGGAGGGGGTTGGGGGGGGGGGGGAGTCAGTTTCCTGAAAACGATGCAGAGGCAGACCTCCGCGAAGCGGACACAAGACTTTGAAGATGAATTCACCATGAAAGCACATAGGGCTGGAGAATTGGCTAGAGAAAGACAGACCTTCGGGCGTGCCGTGACGAGAGCGACGTTCTGTAAAGGATCTTCTGATTGATTGATTATATGACTGACTGGCTGCCCGTGTGGATTCCTGGGCCACATTATAGGGGGGGGGGGTGGGGTTAGTAGACCCACTACCCCCCCAGACAAGCATGTCGTAAAAGTCAGCTTTTCCTTCAAAGTCGGAGTACATCTGTCTGAGTGGCGAGGTACCAACAGTTCACAAACAAATAAGCCAGATATACAAAACTCATATTCTGGAAAAAGACAACCAAAGGTTAGAAATGGACGAACAACCAGAGTTTTCCTGAAGAGTTTACAGCCGGTCAACACGAAGAAGAAGAGGAAGAAAGAAAATGGTAACGTGCAAGTGAATCAGGCATCCTGCTAAATATTTGCCCATAACAATTGTGCTCACCGTTACTCGTGAATCGCCATGGATGTTCACATCAACAGAAGCTCCCATCCACTGGTTATCCTTGCTGTGCTGCACTGTAATATTCTTCCACTTTTCAATTACTTGTTTTTCATTTCCTATAATATTTTTTTTTAGAGAAATTTTAAAAGACAGTTTAATTTATTGACATTTAATGTAATATCGCCCCTGTGTTATGGGAGGCCTTAGAGGTAACACATTATTATTATTATTATTATTATTATTATTATTATTATTATTATTATTATTATTATTATTATTATTATTATTGTTTTTATTATTTTTATTATTATCATTATTATGTGCTTAATGGTCTTAAAGTCCATGCCGTGTTGCGTTGGTAGTCTTGTCCCATCCACAACCTTCTGTACTTTACAGATGATCCTTTATGCCATGATGCCAGACCGTCCAGCATCTTTTCTTTCGGTCTCTCCAGTTTCTACTTCTCATCACATGACCAAAGAATGCAGATTATATCTTTCTGAGTGGGTAATTAATTCTCTTTCTCTATCTATCTATCTATCTATCTATCTATCTATCTATCTATCTATCTATCTATCTATCTATCTATCTATCTATCTATCTATCTATCTATCTATCTATCTATCTATCTATCTATCCATCCATCCATCCATCCATCCATCCATCCATCCATCCATCCATCTATCTATCTATCTATCTATCTATCTATCTATCTATCTATCTATCTATCTATCTATCTATCTATCTATCTATCTATCTATCTATCTATCTATCTATCTATCTATCTATCTATCTATCTATCTATCTATCTATCTATCTATCTATCTATCTATCTATCTATCTATCTATCTATCTATCTATCTATCTATCTATCTATCTATCTATCTATCTATCTATCTATCTATCTATCTATCTATCTATCTATCTATCTATCTATCTATCTATCTATCTATCTATCTATCTATCTATCTATCTATCTATCTATCTATCTATCTATCTATCTATCTATCTATCTATCTATCTATCTATCTATCTATCTATCTATCTATCTATCTATCTATCTATCTATCTATCTATCTATCTATCTATCTATCTATCTATCTATCTATCTATCTATCTATCTATCTATCTATCTATCTATCTATCTATCTATCTTCTTTTACCCTACCAGGACATCATACAAGCGATAAACACCCGATGACATAAAGTGCCACCATGTAGATGAGGATCACCTGTATAGAGGTCCCAGAAACGGCGTTCAGCCATTAGACCATATTTATGGCTGACAAGAGCCAGAGTAGGGCTTCAAATAACGAAAGATTGCACCCCACAAAGGGATGACAAGATATTGAAAATTCTCTTTCTGAGTCAGTTTCTTTAAAGACATCCTCCCTACTCTTTTTGTCTGTCCGGGATATTCTTATAATTAGTCTATAAAACCACATCTCCGCAGCTTCCAAACAATTTTTCACTAATCTACCAAGCGTCCATAATGTGCTTAATGGTAAAAACATAAAAATATTTTTGAAAATAATGTGAAATATATAAACAGTTATTTATAAAGAGAGCGTCTGTACATATTTAAGGGGAATCACTTAGCCCCCATGCAAAATGTCCCGGTGGTATGGTGATTTAGCACTCCCCCTAAATACTGGAGGCTCAATGTGTCTGAGCCGGTATGTTCTGGCGTCTCTGCTCACAACCTTATAGCCGTGTCAACTGTGGGAATACCTTTACTTTCAAAATAGAATCAGGAAGATGAATTTATAAATTTTACATTTTGTTACTGCTTTTAATAAAACGAATAAACAATAAGTCCACAATTCATCTGATATGCAGCTTGAGATTGTGGCCCCAGGTTTCAATCTTTTCTAGTCACTCGAGGTGTAGAATTCTAAAAATAAGTATAGCACACTAACTTAATAGTAATGGGGGAACGAAATAGAAAATGAATGTTGAATGTTGAATTAAGAAGCGACATTACAGCACCACGGAGACTCTCATTAGCGCTCCGCCCCCATCTTCAGCAACAAGCGAAGAGTTCCAATTGCGATGGCACCAGTAACAATCTGACTGGATATCGGTCTCGCCTTTCCATTGAGTGTTAAGCGTCGGCCAGATCTGATAGCAATGCTGCTATTCTCCTCAGATCGTAATTGTCTGTTTGTGCCTCCGCACTGTTCCCTCTCCCCCAAAAGGGCCCCACATCTAGCTTGTCATACGGCAGTCAGTTCACCACCAAGTGTATGAGAATAAGTCAAAACAAATGATTACTTGTTTTTCCATGGCGAAACCGATTAGAGCTGTATAATTAAATATATATTTAGGTATCTCCTGAGGGAGCTTGACATTTTTTTTCCTTTCAGGAATGACCTTTGCACCTAGGTTGACATAACCTTAAATGGGTACGAGGTAGAATACTGGGAAGTAAAGGCGACTGGCATGATGTTGACCATATTAACCACCGAGTGCCGCTTAATATTTAAAATAAGGTCCAGCTCTATATGCCAAATTCGCATTAAAACGTGAAAAAGGGTAATTCTTTTTTAAAGAAAGGGCCGTGGATAGAAAACAGAACACGGGAGCTGGCCACAAGGGCCTAAGCCTCGTCAACTTGTATTCTTCTTCTTCTTCGTCGTCGCGTTCAACAGCTGTAAACTCTGGTGAAAAGTTCTGGTTGTTCATCCACTTCTGACTGCAGTTCTGTCCCAGAACCTGAGTGTTGCGTGTGCATCCGTTTTACAGATCTGACTAATTTGTATGCAGACTGCTGGTTCCTTGCCTCTTAGGCAGATGCACACCGACTTTGAAGGAAGTCAACTTGTCTAATTTGGTATGATCAGAAACATATGTTAGTATCCCCCGTGTGGGTTCCGGGGCCCCATTGTGGGGAAAACAAGAATAGACCCACTGCCTCCCCAAAAGCATGTCGTAAGAGTCGACTAATTGGGGAGCTTTCTTTGAAGTTGGAGTGCATCTGCCAGAGAGGCGAGGAACCAACAGTCTGTATTCAAGAGAATGAGATCTGTAAAACTGATGCACACGCAACACTCAGGTTCTGGAGCAGGACTGCAGTTCAGTAGTGGACGAGCAACCAGAACCTTCCGCCAGAGTTTACAGCTGGTGAACGCGAAGAAGAAGAAGAAGATATGTTAGTATTATCAGGTACATATTTATTATAATAGGACGCAGATTTAGTATAATCAGAAACATATTTTTTTTCACATAATCAGATACACATTTCACATTTAAAAAAAAATAAACAGAAACATATTTTTTCACATAATCAGATACACATTTCACATTTAAAAAAAAAATAAACAGAAACACTGACATCCTAAAAGATCTAAACATCAAGGAAGATTGGCTAGTAAATAGCATCTTGTTTTGGAAACTAAAATATTGTAGCCTTATGAAGCGCCACGTTAGATGTGGAGAAATAGTATCAGGAAAGAGGGGCAGGGGCAGATCACCACAAAGATAAGTACATGGTGTAAGTGAAAGTGAACGAAGCGGGAGAGCTGGCGAGAGACCGAGCTTCTTTCAGTCAGACCGTAACGAGAGCGACCTTCTGCAAAAGACCTGCTACATGATGATGAGACCCGTAATTTAGTATAATCATACACATATATTTCGTATAATCAGACACACATATGTAGTATACATATATTTAGTAAAACCAGACACATATATGTAGTATACACATATTTAGTATAATCAGACACACATATGTAGTATAAAAATATATTTTGTATAATCAGACACACATATTTACTTTACATATATTTAGTATAATAAGACACACATTTGTAGTATACATATATTTAGTAAAACCAGACACATATATGTAGTATACACATATTTAGTATAATCAGACACACATATTTAGTATACAAATATATTTAGTATAATCAGACACACATATTTACTTTACATATATTTAGTATAATAAGACACACATTTGTAGTATACAATTATTTAATATAATCAGACAGACATATTTAGTATACAAATATTTAGTATGATTAGAGGTATGTAGTACAATAGGACACATGGTTATTATATTCAGATAAATATTTGGTATAATCAGACACATATTAAGTATAATTAGACACGCACTCAGTATAATCAGACACATATTTAGTGTCATCAGACCTACCTTTGATTTTTTTAAGTGTTTGTTTATCTTGATAACATCGGATAGAAGGTTTATTGAAGAAGTTAAATGTAGAATAGCTCAAGCAAAGGCAACATTTTACAAATGAAGAATATTTTATGCAATCCTTCTTTGTCAATTGAGACGAGAAAGAGAATTTTTATAAGCTATATAAACGCTATCTTGATATATGGAAGTGAATCATAGGCAGTTGGTAAATTAATGATCACTTATTTGGAAGCTGCGGAGATGTGGTTTTTACAGACGATTGATGAAAATACTCTGGACAGATAAAAAGAGTGATAAAGATGTCTTGAAAGAAACAGAAACTGACTCACGAAGAGAAATGACTGCCTACATAAGAAAGAGACAATGTACATTCTTTGGTCATTTGACGAGAAGGAGAAAGAAAGCCAAAGTACATCGTGACAGTAGAAAAGTTGGAGGGGATGAGAGACAGAGGAAGACTAAGAGGATATATGCTGGACACTTTGACATCCTGGCATGGAGAATTATTTGCATCAGAGTTTACTGAAAATTCACGAGACAGAAGTTTTTGGATAGACGTGACTACCAACGCCTCAGAAGATTATTCTCAGATCTTTGCCATCAGTGTTTAAGGTTTCCAGTCATTCTTTCACAAAGTGTTCTCAAGATAAATATGGCGTAGTTTGTGCCTTTACTTTCAACAAAATAAATTTTTGGTTTAATTCTTGATTCGTGATAATTATTAATATTTTAGTAACATTACTCTTCTTCTTCTTCTTCACTTCCTCTTTTACCGCTGTGGGTGTCGAGGGAGATATAAGGTTCTGTTTCTAGCTCTTCTGGCTGCCTCGACCATAGGCACATCGTGCTGTTGTAGAGTTTCTCTGATGTTATCCTTCCATCTTGTTCTTGATCTACCCCGTGCTCTACGTCCTTCTTCTCTTTCTATGTATGCTTTGTATGGTATGGTGTCACAAGACATTCTCTCTAAGTGGGTAAACCATTTCACTTGCTGTCTTTGTATGTAATCCAGAATTGGTTCTGTGCCGACTTGTTCTCTTATGATCTCATTCCTGATCTTATCTCTTATGGTCACTCCTACAGCCCTTCTCAGACATCTCATTTCCGTGGTTACTAATTTTCTTTTATGGTTTGTTGTGAGGGACCATGTCTGGCACTGGTAGCACAGAGTTGGAATAAATATGCTTTGAATAAGATGTCTCAATAAACTAAATGTTCGATGTTCTCCACATTCCATTGCACCAGTTGTTTTTGGTAAAGGTATGAAAAGAAATGTCAGAAGGTCACCAGGTATAAATACTGTTATAAATATCATAGGACAATTTTGTTTAAACTTCTAAACCCATTTCATCAGCAGCTTTTAATTCTTCAATCGTGATGTTATCTGCCCCTGGTGATTTACATTTCTTCAAGTGGTTTATAGCATCTTCCACTTCCGCATTCAGTATGGCGGCCCCTCCCATTACTCACGACTCTCTGTGTCTGAGCGATGTTTTCCAGTTGTAGATTTGAACAAAGAAGACACAAACAAGATATTGCACAATTTATTGACGGGCATATTTCGCTGTATTTCGTCAGGTGCATACCACAGTAACAATTCATTAAAATGAAGCTAATAAATTAATCATTGGAACTGAAATACAAAATCGACAGAGGCATAAGAGAATCAGAGACAGTAGAGAGTTATTTGGAAAAAAACTGAGAGGCAGCTTTAGGAGACAGCAAAAAATAGGAAAGCTTTGAATTGGGCTGGCTGAGGACCACTTCTTCCTTAAAAGACAAAAGGCAAAAATACATCACATGTATTTCAAGAAGTATGTCAGTGAAAGTTAAAAATTTAACGAACCGATGTCATCAATAAACACATGCTGGCAACTGCTTCGATATTGCCAGTTACACTGGAACACAGCTCCGGGTTGGTAAACTCCAGGAAGGGATGAGTCGTTTGCTCGAGGTGCACCGACCAACAACCTGTTAGAAGATAAATCATTGTGTACCTTCAATACTGCTGACTAGGGGAGGGAAAAAAAAAGGGGGGGGGGTGTAAACATCAGAAGCTTATGTGTATCTAAACACATTAACAATAATTACTTTAGATTAATAAAAAAAAAAAAAACATCAAACTTGTTTTCAAACAAAATAAAGAATCCTTTCCCCACACCTTTAACCGTAGAGGGCATATAGGGGTAGACATGTATTTCAAGACCAATAGATGAGTGATGTGGTAAACATCACACCGGATGCCTTTAATTTCTAGGACTTTATCTGGGGCACAATTATTATTTTCCAACCATCAAAGGACTGCAGGTTACCACTTTTTGGAAGGTTGAAAGAAGTATCTAGGTCTGCCCTGTTGGTCTGCCATCAGCACTGAGATTCTTTAGTTTTTCGGTGTCAGACCTTCAAGTCCCGAAGGCGGACCACCCAGAGGGAGATCTTCTGGCTTCAGAGTGTCGTATTTTTCAGGTGGTAGGTCATGAGGGTAGACGGTATGCACGTACGCCTTTTAAACCTAATTTTGTGCGTGTGTGTGTCTGTGTGTATGTCTTCGTGTGGGTTACGGGACCCCATTGTGGGGAAAACAAGAATAGACCCATTGCCTCCCCAACACGCATCTTGTAGAAGTCAACTAATTGGGAGCTTCCTCCGACGCCAGAGGACATCTACCCGAGCGGTAAGGAACAGCCAACTGCACACACACACACACGCACACACATCACACAAAAGCCAATAAAACGCTGTACATGCAAAATTCAGGTCCTGGCAGGAAGCCAAAGTCGAGATGGACGAACAATCAGGAATTTCCCTCCCCCCTCCCCCCCCCCCCCCCCCCCCCCCCCCCCCCCCCCCCCATCAAGCTTACAGCCGATGAACAAAGAAGAAAGAAGAATCCATTTTTTTTTCTTACCAAGATTACAGTCTGAAAGAATAACAAGCAGTAACTGATTACAGTCTGAAAGAATAACAAGCAGTAACTGAAAGAGCTAGTACAAGGATGAGAGTCCAACAGAAGCAAATTCAAGAAACGCCGATTAACAATATGTTTTAGGGAGAACGGTAATGAACTGAACGGTTCATGTAAGAAGAGACAGTGGTCAGACAGCACTATGGTGAAGACCTGGAATATCATCGAAGGTCCGGGCGGGACTGTAGGTAACTACCGACGGTCCCGGTCTGGGCATGGAAGTTCATGAAGCGAGAAAATTAGCAAAGAACGGAGTTGCTATACGAGCCACTTTGATAAGACCGATGCTTTGTTAAGACTGATGTTTTATTCAGACGAATGTTTTGTGAAGACCAATGTTTTGAAAAAAACCGATATTTTATGAAGACCGATGTTTTAAGACCGATGAAAGAACTGATGTTTTGTTAAGACCAATGTTTTGCTAAAACCAATGTTGATGATGATTTTCAGTATTTGTTCATGTATTCTTTTTTTTTTCTCTCCATATTTTTCTCAGTGCCCCTATGAGTCGCACGTTATCAGATGATCGGTTTCGGAGTTAGGGTATGCTCGGTTGCCAAATAGGCTGTGATATTGTGGAGTTTCAAGGTATCAGTGATTTCTTGAATCCATATTTTTCTTGGTCATCCACTACGTCTTGGTGTTTATACTTTCGTTTGGTGTTTGGTACACCAGGGCTTCTCATCCACGACCGACTCCAGCAAACGCATCGTTAGCCTGACCCGGTGACGTTAGAAACACGGCCCGTTAGCTGGAGCCGGTCGTGTTTCAACTAAGCTCAAACAGGGGCGACGATTTTTAAAATTAGGATCGTCGCCAGCTAGAAGCCCGAACCCCAGCATAGCCAGATCAGTAAGACAATACAACTGGCAATGATCTCAATGGGCCACCAGTTGATTAGCCCTGTTGTACTCTCTAGTTCCTGGCATCATTGAATTCGTTCTCCTTAAACGATCAAACCATTCATTATACTTTTGTAGCCTTTCAGGAAGCCGGGGTGGTGTAGCAGATAGACGCTCGATGGTGGATCGGAAGGTCGTAGGTTAGCGACCTGGCGGAGGCTGAAGTCCTGGGAAATAAAGGTGGCCAGCGTGATTTGACCACATTGCCCACCAAGTGCCAACTGGTCTATAAAATATAGGTCTAGCCCTATGTGCCCAATACGTCTGAAGGCTTGGAAAAGGGTCTTTTTTGCTGTTTGCCATTCAGCAACTTATTACTATGACCATTATTATTTTTTTATTATTATATTATTAGGTGAATAAACAATGCTTAGGCCTCTTCGGCCCCTATCTTCCCGCACCCCATTCATTTTCTTTGTGTCGGCGCCACTATTCTACTTGACGGCGCTATGGTAAGTACATAGGGCAAAATGCTTTTGTCTTTACTAGTAGATAGGAGTTTAAAGCGCAAGTAAACAGGAAAAGATAACTGTCGGACATTTCAGCAGAGGAAATTGGTCAGTGAAAGTAGCAGTATGTTAGAGTGTAAAGAGTAGGAGTACAAGTAAAAAAGAAATAGAAGAAGAAGAAAAAAAAGATTAAGAAGAAGAAGAAGAAAAAGAAGAAGAAATTGTAGTAGTAGTAGCAGTAATAGCAGTATTAGTAGTAGTAGTAGTTGTTGTTGTTGTTGTTGCTAGTGTTGTTGTAGTACTTGTAATGGTGGTAGAAGTAGTAGTAATAGTAATTATTATAGTAGTAATAGCAGCAGCTGCAGCAGTAGTAGTAGCAGCTATAGTAGTTGTAGTAGCTATAAAAGTATTAGTAGTAGTAGCTATTTAGTAGTAGTAGTTGCAGTAGTAGTAGTAGGTGTTGTTGCTATTGGTGTTGTTGTTGTCGTAGCTATAGTCGTAGTTGTATCTATGGTAGTAGTAGTAGCAGCAGCAGTAGTAGTAATAGCAGTGGTGGCAGAAATTGTTGTAGTAGTAGTACTAATAGTAGTAGTAGCGGCAGCAGCAGCATTAGTAGTAGCTGTGGTGGTGGTAGTACTAACAGTAGTAGTAAATGCAGTAATAAAGAATGAAAAGATTGAAGAAGCATAGTATTAGCACTAAACTAGTATTAGCAGCAGTAGCAGCAGTAGTTGCCGTTGTGGTCGACTACAAAGAACAAGAAGAAAAAGAAGAAGAAGAATAAGATCTATTTTTTAAAAAGTGAACACAATGCTACTATAAGTTATACATAACTTACTTTCTGCTCTGATATTACTTACTTTGCTGAAACCGCGATTTTAACCTACAAACCAGCGGGCAGTAAGGAATGGCGGAGCGGTAGACAGATTGTATGTAATAAATCGACGACATTAATTTTACTGGATATGACATCAAAGTACTTCCATAATTACCACCTTCTCTGTATCTGTTTAATGTTCGCTTCTCTGTTTCTCTCGTATTTTTATAGACCGTGCTTTGGTGTCTATTTATACACGCCACTAGCGTTATGTTTATATGCCAGGAAAACGTTTGCAATTAGACGTCTCTAAATGAATGGGACGTAGTAATGACACTATTAATTGAGTTATTAGTTTCTTATTTTTCTTCTTCTTCTTCTTTCTCTTCTTCTGCTGTTAATCTACCTCTTCTTCTTTTTCATCTTCTTCTTTTTAGCGTTTACCAATTTTAAACTGAAGAGAAAACTTCTAGTTGTTCGTCGCCAACTAGACTTTAGTCTCCAAAACGTGAGTTATGCGCACACATCTGTTTTACAGACCTAGCTTATTTGTATGCAGAATGTTAGTTCCTTGTCTCCTAGGTAGATGCACTCCGACTTTGAAGGAAAAAATCCTCATTAGTTGACTTACGACACGCTTGTTAGGGCTAATGGTGTCCTGAAATCCACCAGACAGTTTTGTACTTAATTGCTGTCTTAATAAGTTAAATTATACGTTTTTTTCCCCACTTGACTTATAGCACACACACTCTCATACGCATTCACACACAAATACATACAGAGATGACACATGTACACACGCACAAATGAGACTAAGGACCACATTGGCATGTCTCTGTTTCATGGCCGCCGGAAGCTCACCGTAGTCACGTGACTTACTTGAAGTTACCCTAGTAAGTCACGTGACTGCGGTGAGCTTCCAGCGGCAATGAAACAGAGACAATGAATCGGAAGAAACTATTCGTATTTCAGTTGAATTTATTCAGTTTTGTGCTTTATTTTACGTTGATGTAACTCTGTAGTAACGCACCTGATGAGATACAGCGAAATATGCCTGGCAATAAATTGTGCAATGTATTGTTTATTTTAGAAATGTCAGAGGTCAAACATTACCATAGTAGTACTGGTGAAAAACGGGCGGGGGTATAGAAAGGATCCGATGAGTTGTGTTAAGAGCGGCGTTCTGTATTGACTTGCCACATGGTGCCGACGATGATGATAATAATGCTGCTGGTAAAGCAGTAAAAATATCTTTGGCGGTGTGTACCTTCATTGTGTGCCCCGGATGCATGCATAACCTTAACTTCCTATGTACCGGATTGGTGAGTGCTAACATTTTTATGGTAGAGATGAGTGGTGTCAATAAACACGTGTCTGTGGTGATGCTTTCTTAGAAATAATCTACCGGAAGTAAGTTAAAAAGAAAAACTGTGTTAATAATTGCACGTATCATTGGAAGTCGTCATCTGTGGCTTAGTGCTGCGAGCTGGCTTCGTAATTCTGTGGTGTCGGGTTTGATCCAGTTGCAGGCGATTTGGCAGCAAACCGCCTTGGGAGCCGAGGGCAGAACGTAAAATTACCTAGCGATATCACGGAAAGGCAAAACATGCTAAGGATTGATTCTGCAACATCCGGTAAAGGGCACACAACCACACTTTCTTGGAAACGGAAGTACCGGAAGGGAATTCAATCAAGCGCACGCCTGTGTTTATAATGAAAATGCAGTTATTGGAAGCGGCTGCAGTGCTGTGGTTATCATGCTCCCAAGTCGACCTGGCCTAAAATGTGCACCAGGAAATGATCCGCTAAGTAAAGCACGTGGCTATCAAGTACAGACT